GTAATAAATACATATTTGGGATTGGGGTATTTTTATTTTCTCTCTTAAAATTTATGTTTGAAAAAGCAAACACCAACAATGACAATAAACTGGCTACAGAAAGTTGCTTGGGTTCTCTAATAGTCAAATTGAACATACTAAGTAGGAAATCACAATCTTAGTGCTTTTGTTAGCATATGTGAAAATCTGGTAGAGTTTAAACATTCCCCAAGCATATATATCAAGTTGCCTATAATAAGATCTTTGGCTTACTATTATATAAGATCATTTCTTCTAATGTAGAAAATTAAGACTAAGAGTTTGAACAAAAATGGAGGTAAAGTCTCTCAAGTGGAAAAACACTGTATTCTACAATGAGTACACACCGATTGCTAGGAGAAAGTTAGAAAAACCCCAGCACATTCTACAAAGTTTAAATCAAAATGCAGTTGTGGGGGAGGGGCAGAAAATGAAGTGGCAGTAAGTGTTCAGTCATTGGTCTCCAGGACCTAGGTCTTTGCAGGTTGCTTGAATGGCTCTCTGGGTCTCCTGCTGTAGCACTGTTTGGCAAGGAAAAATGCCACTTTACAGCTTCAAAAGAAAAGAGAACCAAGCTATTCCAAGGGCTGTGTGTTTGTGCATGTGTGTGCAGGGGGCCCTTCATAGATGACTATAAATTCTCATCATTAAGTCATGGCAGAATTGAGCCTGGTCATTCTGATGGTGAAGTGGTGGAGACATTAAGCAAGCCACGAAGAACGCATCACTGCTTCATTAAAATAAAAGGCCKTTTTTGAAGCCTTAAAAAAATGCATAAAAAAGTTTTACCTGCTACTATCTTCTGTATTCTGTTCATGATTCACCTATAATTACATGTATGGGGACAGGGATTAGGGAAGCAATTTGGCTTCTTCCTTGGAGGTTTTTGAGTGTTTGTCTCTTTTCTCCTTGGGTCTGAGTAGGAAGGGGCACTGGAAGTTGTCTGGTCTTAAATAATGTCTAAGGAATAGCTGGCTTCCATAAATGCACTTACAGTTTCTCCTGAAATTCTCCTAATGGCAGAATAAGCATCATCACAAGGTTGACAACAATAATCTAAAACATCTATTTTTGTTTACTTAAAATCTGACATCCTATGACGACTATCTTAGTTTTGTTTAGTGTGCATTAAAAAAGGTTTTGAAAACCCTACAATGATAATCTTTTCAAGTACCTGAAAATAGCTACCCTGTCCCCTTCCAAATCCTCTCTCATTTGTCATGAGAATGTTTTCAGATCATTCACAATCCTGTAATTCTCTCCTGAACAAGCCACAGTCAGAGTTCAAGGTTCTTATCATCATTATAAAACAAGCTCTTATATACTAGGAACATACTATAACACAGAAAGTGTAAAACAAATTACTTGCTTTAATAATCTTCTCAATAGTATCTTTGAGGCAAGTGTTTTTGCTTATTGAGTGAACTCTTTGTCCATTTTCTGTTGCTATAACAAAACAGCAGAGACTGGGTAATTTAAAAGAATATGTTTTTTGAGCTCACAGTTTTGGAGGTGATGACATCCATAAACATGGCACCAGCATCTGGTGAGAGCCATCTAACTCCAWTGTAACATGGCAGAGGGCATTATATGGCAAGGCAGAACAAATGTACTAGCTGGGGTCACTTTCTTCTTCTACAACCAATAATGCCATSATGTGCCACCTCTAACACCATGATCTCATCTAATCCCAGTTATTTTCCAAAGGTGTCAACTCCAAATGCCATCAATATATGAATGTGGGGAACTTCTGGGGGAGACATTTAAGCCATGGCAGAAATCAAAGTTTGAAAAATTTAGAAAGTTTCTCAAAATTGCATGACTTAAAAGAGGCAAGGCTGTTAGCTCACCCTAGTCTGAAGGCTTTGSAGCATTTCTCACATGTCTACAAAACACAGTCCTAGAGAAGGCAATGATCCAGAAGCTGAAGGAACCAACAGCTCACCACCTTCTACAAAATAAATATTATATTTCCACGGAAGCAGCCTTTGATAACAGAAGCAGTCTTCACAGCTACACCACACTGTTGAGTTCACACTGAGTTTGCTAATTAACTTAAGCCCAAAGAAGACTTTTACCCAAACTCTTACTAAAACTGATGGCCATTTCCACCAAACAAAAGATCAAGGGATTTGCACTTGATCCCTTCTAATAGAGGAAGTTTTACCTCCAATCCATCTTTGCCTTACAAGAAAACTGGATTCTGACACTTGGGGGCATTCATTAGCCTCTTAAAGCTCTTCATCACTTAAAAAATATATATATAAATCAGAAACAAAAACTCTGTTCTGTGTTTCTGTACCTTCTTCCAAGTCTTTGAGAAAAACTCCACTCAGAGAAGAGCAAAGGCCAAAGGACATCCCCCAGGACAATGCTTTTCATTCTCTGTTTACCTATGATGTCCTGCGTGTATCTCRCCATCTAAGCTTTACTTTCCATAGTCTATGTCAAACAAGAGGTGTTTTCAATATGCCTTTTCAACTGGCATCTCACTGCCACCTTGAGAAATACACACTGATGATCCACAATTCCCTTTTCTTATTCAATTAATCCGCAACAAATAAATGTACTGAACCTTACCATATTCATGTCCCACCATCTTTGCCACAATGATGTTAGCAGTAAACATATTTTTTTTTCTACCACCAATGTCTGTTGGTGGTAGAAAATATTCTGCTTGGTATGATGATGTGAGGGATAAATAAATAAATAAATAAATTTTTAAAAATGGAAAAAAAAAGAAGTGGGTCACATTAGATTGGGTAGAGAGAAGTGATGGGAGGGGAGGGGAGGGGAAGGGGGGATAGGAAGGACAGCAAAACAAAATAGACATTATTATTGCTRTGGGTATATACGTGACTGCATGACCAATGTAATTCTGCAACCTGTACACTCAGAAAAATGASACATTATATCCCATYTGATTCAAATGTTTGATATRTCAAGATCATTGTACTTTCATGTATAACTAATTAAAACACATAAAAATAAGAAGAAATAGAGAAATAAAGAGATTTTCAGACAACAAAAAAGAAAATATTCTGCTTGCAAATTTTTATATCCCAGAAAAAGTTACCCTTACAAATTTGTCAAATGCATAAAATATTTTATGATAAAGGGAAAGAATTGACCCAACATTGCTATGCTACTCAAAATGCTCACACAGTGACATTAAAAGTAACAATGAATTCTATCCAAATTAATTACAAAAGAAAAATCCTGTGCCCAAAACCACAGTGATTAGCTATAATGAATTGGAAGACATACATAAATTAAATTTGACGCCCTTTCTCAAGGTTACCAAGTCCTTTAACCTTCACAGTAAAACCCAACTACAAGTACATTATTGGTGTCTCCCCATTTTTACAATTATATCTGAATCAATAATTGGACCCTTTGGTCTAAGAAATTAACCAAAAGCAGAGGCAATAAAATATAAGCAATGGGTCTGTGCATGACAAACCTTATTGCATATTTGGAACCTCCTGAAGTAGCCCACTAATGTTTGTAAAGCTAAAGGATGATTGAATTTTTTTTTACAAACCAATATATGACTAAATAATTTTAATGTAAGAATTATTTTTCTTAAATTTTCTTCTACATTCCTACGGTTTTTCTTAATTTTTTTCTGTGTTCCTCCAATCTATATTCATTTAGTAATCCACCCTCACCCCCACCCTAAATGATACTATTGGTATAAAATGAATTTTGTCTTGCAAGAAAAGCACTGGCTCCATGTCATTCATATATATATATATATATATATATAGAGAGAGAGAGAGAGAGAGAATGATAAGGGGGTTGTGATATGGAGGAAGTAGAGATAATGACAGGGGAACATGAGGAATTAGTTTTATACTGGCCATCAGAGGAAGAAAGAGAAATAGAAACCTGTGACCATACACATGGGCAGTGCCTGTGGGGACTGAGATGGGTAGACTGTGAAAGCTTCAGGGGAGGGACTAGCTTGGAGGAACACAGAATGCCCCCTTCCTGGATGAAAAGGGCAGAGGCTGGGGGCAGGAAGAATAAGCTCTTTAAATGAAGATACTGAACCTGAAATTGAATCACCTTGCATAAGAGCAAGCCACTGGTTGGTGCATGCAGGGACCTACTCTAATAGCTTGAGTTCATGCCCTGAGTATCACACTGTGATACTCAGAGAAGTAAACACTCATCCATCTCCATAGCTACTGACAGGCTGCGTTGTTCTCATCCGCTAACTTGGTCTTACAAAATATCTCTAACAAAGTCATTTAACTGCCCCTTCTCCAAAAGGAATTTTACTTTTCTTTACAGAAAAGAATGAAGAGGAGTATACTCTCTTATACCAAGATCAATGTTCCCCTCCATAACCATATTAAAAATTACTGTTCCCTGAGCAAAAAAAGGACATGAATATTTTAAATTCTCTCTCTATTGCTATGTACAGAATTTTAAGTTTCTACTAAGTAATAAGTGACTTGGCCATAAATTATGCAAATAAAAAGGTAAACTTCACTTACATAACAGGATATAATTTAAAAATTTAATTTTTAAGCTTCTAATTTTTTTGGTTCCTATCTTGGAAAGTGTTGGGAGAATCCATCTTTTTAATTTTTTAAAAAAATATGTATAAGATCATGTTTTACTTTGGGACACCATACATATTTTCAATAATTTGGTTCCCTGTTAGAGTCAGAAATAATTTTGTGGATGTGTAACTGATGTGATTCTGCAATCTGTATTTGGGGTAAAAATGGGAGTTCATAACCCACTTGAATCTAATGTAAAAATATGATATGTCAAGAGCTTTGTAATGTTTTGAACAACCAATAAAAAAATAATAATCTAAAAAAAAAAAGAAAGAATTTTGTATTTATAGGTGATCAGTTGTAATTTTCCAGAGTTCTAGAAAAATAAAGAGATGACTTGTGTGTTTTATATCAATATTCCCCAGCTTTCGCCATCTAGGACACCAGAGTTTTAAAATACGTACTTACCTCCACATCACAGGAATATTCTGATCCATCTAGAAGTATCACTTTGCACTGCATGCTTTTAGGTTTTTTGACAATCTTTAATGGAGACCGAGAGAGTTTACTGCTATATGATTTCTGAGAAAGTTTATCTTCTTCAAGTTGCTGATACTCAAGCTGCTTTGCAGCTGCGGCAGCAAACTCCTGTTCCTTGTCAGTGACCTGTGAAGAGCAAACAATGAAGAGTTTTCATTGCAAGGCAGGAAATAAATATTGCATCGCTCGGGCAATGGCACAACTCTTTTGGGAAAGAGGCTGCTTTCCCCTTTTCTAGAGGAGGAGAAGGATCTGAAATAAAGTATCAGGAGTGGATATATATACACACACAGGTATTTATAATGCTCAGTTTCACCTAAACAACTTTTGCCATTTAAATGCACCAATGAGTCCTTATATCAGTTTGACTCCAGGATTTAATTTAGAAGCACTGAGTTAGAAATGCCATCAAGATTTCACTAAGCAAAAAAGGAGAAATTCAGTCCTGACTTTTCAAAAGAAGGCATCAAATCAGACAAATCTCTAATCATCTAGATTTTATCTTGTCTACTCCATTTTTCAAAATTCACTCGATACTTGTATATTCCTTGACCTTTTTCTATCTGTTCCATCCATAGACTTACAAGGAATATTAAACGACAAGGCTTAAGAGAGCTTCGAGTATTAATCTTTTCAGTAATTTTATAACTGTTAAAATATTTGATTTAGCTCTAAATCAATTCGATGAAGTCAGCAGCACTGAAATTCATCACAAAGTAATCCCTTAAGTCTGCTTCTCTTCATTGTAATTAGTCTGTATGAGAACAGATCAAAACTGTCCAAAAGCTTTAATCTGCTTCTGAATGACAACAGGCTAGTCCAGGCCAGACTCTGCAGTGGACACCCCACGAGGCACAGAAATTCTCCCTGAGTCGATTCCCTTGACATCTCCGTGCACGGCTCTCTTACAACTCTCTTTGGTTAAGTGACCACCAGTGGTGGTAGGACAAATTCAGTCTATAGCCAGACTATCATTTCCACCARCCTAAAAATATGCACCAGCAGTCCTCACAAAGATACACACTAATATTCTGTTCAGGCTCCTTGAAATAAGTGTGAAATTTTCTCTCACAGGAGTATACTATTAGCTTGGTGCTAAAAGTACATGGGCTCTTGAGTAAAGACAGTATTGACAGTTTATCATTTCAGCTTTTTTTYCCCCCATTGGCTTCTACAATTTTATAACCACAATGTCATTCTAGGTATATTTATTTTGGATTTTAGGTATGGATTTCTGCATTTTCTACCTTGTTTTCAATTTAGAAGACTGCTAATACAGTCCTTTCTTCTAACACCATGCCTAGGAACTCTAAGTCTTGTGAAGTTATTAAGAATAGAAAGAGAACAGCCTGTTGAGCTTATAAAAATAAGCCAAGAAAAACAAATTGAGCAACCATTACCACAAGTTAGAATAGTTGAGAAGGCTGAGACAGGAGGATCATGAGTTCAAAGCCAGCCTCAGCAAAAGCAAGGCGCTAAGCAACTCAGTGAGACCCTGTCTCTCTAAATAAAATACGAAATAGGGCTGGGGATGTGGCTCAGTGGTCAAGTGCCCCTGAGTTCAATCCCTGGTACCTAAAAAAAAAAAAAAACAAAAAAAAACTGTTGAGAAGGCAAGCTCCAGCTTAAATAGGTTAGAGTAAACTAAAGAAAACTTTCTCTGGCCATCTGCTCCAACTTTTTTGACCATTATCCTTTTCCTATCATTGCAGTAAAATTTTAAAAAGTATAAGAAATCCATAAAACTGTCATTAATATTGGCTTTGAGGTAGTTTAAGGAGAAGTTTGATAACCCTGGAATTGTTTATCAACAACCACACTTCATTTTGTGAGATGCTCTATGATTTATACAAGGCTTTTTGCACGCTTAACTTACATTTCATCTCATCATAGGCAAGGTCAATTGAAGCTATGTTTTTATTTAATTTTATCTGGAATCAACTTTTTCTATGTATTGGGAATGACAAAATTTCATTTTTCCTCTACAAAAATAAAAATGTCTGTGTCTGAGAATAAAGTTCCTGGGGTATTGAATTGTCAACTCCAGAGCATCTGAAACCATCACTCACAGGACAGGCCTCATTTCTGGGAACACTTGAAAGATGAATCTACATCTGAGGCTCTTATAACACATTTTACAAATAACTTTAACAGCTCTAGAAGAGCAGACCAAGTACCTCAAATGAAATGTCAATTGCCTGCCGTCACACAATGCATTGGAATTTTAAAATATCAGTATCAACCACTTTAGTAAATCCTGTATTTTATTCAGTCCTCAATAGCAGCTCTGAAATGGAGCTATTATCACCCACATTTGCAGAGGAGGAAAGACAGAACCAGGGAACCTTCTCAASGTTAGAAAAATTAGAAAACTGGAATTAAAATTCTGCCAAACCCATGTTTAATCATCACTACACACCAAAATATGCCTTTCTCCAATTACCTGCKGCATAACTGGCTTCCTCTATTATGAAGCAAAGAACTTCATGCAAGAGTCTTAGACAAGACCATTTCTGAGAGTTTCATTTTGTAGACAAACATTATAAAGCCTGAGGGCCTGAAGAGTCCTTTGAGGCTAGTAATAATCAGGAGATAAGACTAAGGTCTTGCCCTGTGCAGCCAGGTATTGCCCCCTCTGGTGATTTTATATCACTTCTCTTGCTTAGCTTCAAGCATATGACTACAGAATGTAGAAGTACAGTCTCGTACCACATAACAACATTTTGGCCAACAATGGACTGACTGTACATGATGGTGGTCCTGTTAAGATTACAATAAAACTGAAAAATTCCTATTGCCTGGTGACATCACAGCCATTGTAATGTCATAGTGAAATGCATTGCTCACATGTCTGTGGTGTGCTGGTGCAAACAACCTTCCTGYGCTGGTAGTCATATAAAAGTATAGCATATGCATAATACTGAACAATGATAACAAATGACTATGTTATGGGTTTATGTGWTCCCCGTATTGTATGTTTTAAGGTTACTTTAGACTGTACTCCTTCTACTTCTAAATAACAAGTCTGTTCCCAGCTTGGTGATACATATCTACAATCCAAGAAATATGGGAGACTGAGATAAGAGAATTGCAAGTTCAAGGCTAGCTGTGGCAATTTAGAAAGACCCTGTTTCAAAATAAAATAAAAAGGGGTGGGATGTAGCTCAGTAGAACAGCACCCCTGAGTTCTATCCCCAGGATTGCAAATAAAACAGAACCTAAATCAAGTTTGTTATAAAAACAGAGTGCTGTGTTAGGACAGTAGCAGTCTCGTTGAGCTCATGTTTGCCATGCTTTTTTATTATCATTTTCTCTTGTGCTTCATTTCATCTCATATAGTTCTGTTCATGATGGCCCGAGGTGCCATAGGCCGTACACACAAGTATATGTGTGTGTGTGTGTGTGTATGTATACACACACATGTACATGTATATATAGCCATATGTATGGCTATATTTACACATACAGTACATATATATACATATACATACATAAAACCCTGCACTTACATAACCTGAATGGTACAGCCTGCTACCACCTAGGTTGTGTAAGTGCACTCTATGATGTTGACATGATGATGAAATGACCTAATGACGCATTTTTCAGGATGTGTCCTGTCCATGAGGAACACATGACTGTGTATTAAGTCATGTCTAGGCACAGAGACTCATCCTTTTCTAGAATTATCTCCCATTTTCATGTTTCATTTCAGAACAGGAAAAAATGAAAAAAAAGCCAAATAGCCTAATAATTTAAAATTTTTGAAGATTAAAAGAAACCAAACAAATATTTTTTTTAAAAAAAGAAAACGAAAACATAAAGAAAACCATGATGCCAATAACAGCATTTCCTTAGATTTTATATGCAGGGCTGGGATGGTATCCCCAGCACTCAGCACAAAATCTCCTGGACCAAATAGAACAACTACTCATAAARTGAAAGTACATGTTATTATTAATTCTATTTAAAAGAAGAACTTGCAAAGGTAGGACAAGAAAAGAAAATAATCTGGTTGTAAACATAGAGCTTAAAATTATAATAGTAATGCTGTCATTTCCAGAGATTTTCACTGATAACACTGATTTCCCTCATCATTTTCTAAAATTTCTAGCTCAACACAATTACTTTCAAACTAGAAGAAGCCAATCATTTTAAGGACTCCAGATTTTGTACTACATGCAAATTAGTACTCTAATAAAACATGTTGATTCCAATTCCAAAGTTTTAAGACAAAAGAAAGGCAGATTCATTGGAAGCCTGGATATAAACTATAATTTGTCTTTGGTAATGCTGGGGGGATAGAAGTCGGGGCTTCCAGGGCCTCTTGCATTCTAAGCATGTGCTTTACCACTGAGTCATAGCCCCAGCCTCTCSAACAAAATCTTGTTTAAAAAAAAGACATGATTCATGAGAACTCAAAACACGTGTAGGCACAGAGTTGATAATAGAGATGTATACAGGGAGGAAAAGAGACCTATATGAACATCAGCTAAAAATAGGGGGGGGAAAAACATAACAGTTCCAACCCTTAGACTTGAAATTAAAAAACACCAGCAGCATAATTAAAGCTGCCAGTTTTCTGTCCACCCTTCTTATAAATCCAGATATGAACAATTGAACAATCCAGATTTCAGTGTGAGTTTAAGTGTTTTAATTTAAGCCAGGAGTCACCAAGCAGGCTTGGGGAATGGCATTGACTGACAGCCTTAAAATAGCATGCATTTTCATCTGCCTGGAACCCCGGGGCCACAGCAGATGACCCCTCATAGCTGCCTCTGGTGCTAAGAAACCAAGGTGAGAGTAGAGCCTGGAGAAGCTCAGCAAACAGCCCTTAGTTGCTTTTCTGGCCTTTGCCGGCGGGGGCGCGGCTCACCTCCCTCCGCACCGGGGTGCTGTGCGCCGCCRCAGCCTCAAACTGCTCCAGCGCCGGAGGCTCCTCACCGCTGCCGCTCCCGCTCGGGGGCTCCGGAGGCCCAGGCTGAGCCCCCGCTTGCCCCTGCGCACCCGCTGCCTCCTGGGGCTCGGTCTCCTGGTCCGCCTTGGATTCAGAGTCTGATCCGGATTCGGTCGTCATGGTGGATTGTTCTGCAGAGACAAAAAAAAAAAAAAGGGAAGGTTCTGTGACTGGGTGCAAGCAAAGCAGGGTGCTAACCATGAAAGGCAGAGACACCCATACACAGGGAAGGAAGAGAGATTGCTTCACCAGGAGCAATCCTATTCCGCAGGCCCAAGAGAAGACTTCTCAGAGGTACTACAAAGAACTCCCAATAGCTACATTGTGGAACCAACCCAGATGCCCTTCAGTTTTAGATGCATGGATAGGGAAACTTTGGTATATATGCACAATGGAATATTACTCAGCATTAAAAGAGAATAAAATCATGGCACTTGCAGGTAAATGGACAGAGTAAGAGGACATAATGCTAAGTGAAGTAAGTCAATCCCCAAAAAACTAAATGGCGAATGTTTTCTTTGATATGAGGATGCCCACTCATAATGCTGATGGGGGCGGGGGGGGGGGGGCAGGGGAAGAATGGAGGAACTTTAGATAGGGCAAAGGGGAGGTAGGGGATGGGAGGCGGCATGGGGTAGGAAAGACTGGAATGAGTTAGACYTCAATACCCTAAGTACATGTATGAAGACACAAATGGTGTGAAAATACTCTGTGTACAGCCAGTGACTTGAAAAATTGTGCTCTATGTGTGTAATATGAATTGAATTGCATCCTGCCATCATATATAACAAATTAGGATAAATAAATAATTTAATAAAAGAGAAAAAGATGAGCACTCAAGAGCAGCTCAAAAGGAACAGAGAACCAGGAGTGGAGGTTGATTTGTAATGATTACAGGTTTTCCTCCAGTAGCCTAATAAGGCTTCTGCCACAGATGATCACAAACAGACATTTCAAAAATGGCTAATGATTGAATAACAATTTCAGAAAAGTGAATTAGCTKAAATGAGGGAAGGATGATCTAGCAATGGTAGACATTCCCTCTCTTTCTCATGTTTCTTCCCTCTTTTCTTTACACAGGGGTCATCCCCACCAATGAATCTGTAGATTTTTCTAGGAACAAATGCCTTTCCCATGTGACTTCTCTTAATTTGGCTACCTTCTTTGGAAGTGGAAACTGCAACTACCATAGAGATTTCTTCAGGAGTGTGGCCTCAAACCAAGATCCTAATAATACATAATATGACCTTCTGACATATAACCACCATCTTCTAATAGTTTGCTGTTCAAGTTTAGTATTTTGTGCTTCAGTTTCCACAGCTGCCAAATGAGACAAAGGAACTCATTTACACCTGAAGAAGTGATTTTTCTATTGTTATTTTTTTCTCCTAATAGACACACTACTGTGTTTAAGGAAGACTTTTACTCTAAGCAGTAAGAAAGCTGCTATGCCAAGTAGATACGACATTTTGTTTCTTAACCTACGAATGTGAGGTAAATATCTCAAAAATATGTATCTCAGGTTGTGTAATAATTTCCCTTCCTAGTTCTAATTTTATGGTAAAAATATCCTGAGCAAAGGGCTAGTGTAATACCTTCAGTAAATGATATATTCACTGGCATAATATAGAATTATTGAAAATAAACYAGTAACTGTAGTAAAGCCACTGTTTAATCCCTATCTTCACAACACACATTGGAATATGTTTAAAAATTTGAAGAACATTGCAAAAAAACCCACTCAATGCTACATCTGCACTTTTTTTTTATTATTATTATTCCTTTTCCCAATTCCCAGCTACACCTTCTGTTGAATAAAAAGACATGTCAACTTGGCATGTGCKGAGCTGCCCAAAGCATATGTAAATACCAAGTCCACACGCACAGCAAGAAAATGATCCAAGCAAAACTAACATAGTCTCTTCTTTTTCTTCCTATATCACATTTTAGATTTTAGAGCAAATCTTGAAGGTAAACATTTGTATTTTTTTTTTTTTTTTTTTGGTCCTCTTATCCTGGAAAGTGGGATGAGTACAGAGAGATAACAGCTGAGGGAGACAAGGTGTTCATCTGGAGGAATTCAGAGCCTACAACTGAATTCCCATCTTGGGAAGGGGGAGGATCAGACTGAACTCACCCAACATTTACTGAGTACCAAATATAAGCCAAGTGTTGCCTGTGGTTTAGAAGCGGAGATTAAAATGTTATAACCCATCCCCCTCTCTACCCCAAGGACTTCATCGCCTGAGACAGAAACGGAGTGTCCTTTAGTAACTTCCTTTAGTAAGTAAGCATGTTCTTTTAGCTAGAATTCCTCCGCCTGCCTTGAGACGGTGATGAGCAGTGATCCTGTGATTAAGTCTGGACAATGAAACAACAGGAAAAAAAAAAAAAACTTATTCAGTATTCAGATCGTCTTCATAGAGACAAAGTCACTTGCTCCAGGGGACTCCGATTGTCATTGACTAGAAAATGATGACAAATGTCATGGTCTCCTTAGACACAGCCATGGATGTGCCATGTTGAGGAGCATGTCAGAGTCACGCCACTTGTTCTGAGTTGTCACATGAAGCAGAAGTCTGCTTTTGCCTTGTGTGAACCTTAGTGTACTGGCCCATACCCCAATATGTGATGCATTCTATGGACGGCATTAATGCCCCTGTGGTTCTCACCCTCCCTGGATCTCACACCCCCCTCAGCTGCTACCAAGTTCCTCTTCTTCTCACTCCTGACTCAACCTAAAAGGAAAAAAAAAAAAAAAGTTGCTGACCCTACTTGTCTTCTTCACTTCCTCTCTTCTGGCTCCTACCCCACCCACTTGATTGAGGTGGCCCTTGTGGTCAAGGCAGCGGACCATGCGCTCTTCCCTGTTCTACCATCTGACCTCCGGGCAGCTCTGACCCAGGCAATGAACTCTCCTTGTCAACCCACTTCCCTGTCTTGGGGATTCAGATATAGCACCATTCTCCCTGGAGTCTCCTTCTGTCTGGCCTCTGTGTGGCCAAATTCCAGAGTATTCCATTCTGAGCCCTCTGCTCTCTCATCACACCTTATCACACCTTCTTCGCAGCATGCCACACACTTCCCCAGGGTTTTAGATCCTTCCTATAGGTCAGTGGTTCTCACACTCACACCTCTAGTTCAAATCTCTGTTCTGAGCTTCCCAGTTAGCATCCCTTCGCCCACTTACCACCCCCCGCCAAGGCTACATAGGTATTTCCTGATTTCTCCCTTCACCCATCCCCTCCCTCCCTCATCTTCCTCACCTCAACAAGGGGGAAAGGCTGCTTCTTCAAGCCCATCACCCCTGATATTTTCCTTCCCCTAAACCTTCTTATCTCATACACAAGGGAAAGTTCTTCTGGTTCTATCTCTAAAATAAATCTTTAGTTGTCCCCTGTCCCTCCATGAGCCACTATTCATTTCTCTCCTGAATTCCCTTCAGTCACCTCTGACTAGTTCTCTGTCCTGCTCCTGCCTGCCTCTGTGTCTAATCTCCATAAAACATTCATCCAGTCCCATCCATACTCACTGCTGAAAATGCTTTTAACAGCTTCTCAAGGCACTTGAAGTCAAATAAAATCTAAACTCATAATTACCATGGCCTTCAGGGATATGTCCAGGCCCTGACACCCTAGAGGTGCCTGGCCCTCCAGCCCACTCTGACCCAGCCACAATGGCGGCCCTTTAGTTTCTAYTCCACATCAAAGTCACCTCATTCTTCTGTTCTTAGGCAGCCCACTCCCCCATTCCTCAAATGTTGGCTGAGAAAGGCCTTCCTCATTCACCAACATTCTAGCTGTGCCTGAGTTTTCTTCCTGCAATAGTTAGACTATAATCATTCTCTTCTCCCTTACCTCCAACCTAGCTATTCCAGGTGGGAACCATGTATTTATATCCAATATACCCAATATCAACACAGTATCTGGAATATGGTGTATCACCAATTACTTGATAAAGAATGATGTTGCAAAACCAACCTCATTTATTATCAAATCTATGTATTTTAAAGTGTAATGTCTCTTACTGAAAGGGTAGATATTTCTATGTCTTACATAGCTAAGAAAATAAAACTTGAACAAAAATTTCTGAAAGGGGCTGGGATTGTGGCTCAGCAGTAGAGCGCTCGCCAAGCACATGTGAGGCCCTGGGTTCGATCCCCAGCACCACATAAAAATAAATAAATTAATTAAAGTTATTGTGTCCAACTACAACTAAAAAATAAATACTAAACAAAAAATTTCTGAAAGATCCTACAAGGAAAAAATTTTACAAATATAAATTTCATATATGTATATGTAGACATGTATATTTGTTACTTATATCTATGTATATGGATTCAGTCTAAATTACACACAAATGGTAAATTTAGTTATTACAAGCAAATATGAGGGGCTGGGGTTGTGGCTCAATGGTAGAGTGCTTGCCTAGCATGTGTGAAGCCCTGGGTTTGATTCTCAACACCACATATAAATAAAGGTCTATTAACAATTAAAAAAGTATTTAAAGAAAAGTAAACATGAGAATATTTACTTTCAGCGAACTAACCCAAATAACAGTTAATTTAGTCCAAAGTGAAAATATCAGAAGGGAAACTTGGAAAACAGTTTTCACTGCGTTGGAAAGGAAAAGGTACAATTTTAAATAGCAAGAATCAACCCAGAAAGCAAGGAATAAGTATAACGTGTGTGTGTGTGTGTGTGTGTGTGTATGTGTGTGTGTATATGTGTGTGTGTATATGTGTGTGTATGTGTGTGTGTGTGTGTTTCCACCTGCCAAGTTTGAAAAATTGTAACACAGTTAACATCAATGCAGGAAACACTACTGTTTTTTTTTTTCAATCTAATGCTTCTGTCAGTCAAATGAAAGTCTTGCCTCCCCCCCCCCCAAAAAAGAAAAGGTTTAGAGCTAGGCGTGGTGGCACAGGTCTATAATCCAGGTGGCTTGGGAGGCTGAGGCAGGAGGATCACAAATTGGAAGCTAGCTTCAATATTAGCAAGGCCCTAAGCAACTTAGTGAGAACTTGTCTCAAAATAAAAAATAAAAAGTGCTGGGGATGTGGCTCAGTGGTTAAGCACCCCTGTGTTCAATCCGTGGTACCAAAAAAGCAGCAGCAGCAACAGCAGCACAC